CCTGATTAAAAATCTCACACGCACATAAATTGAGAGTATTTATAATTAACTGATACGAGATTTCTTACATAGAAATTAATTTGGGAAGGGGAAAATCATAGAATATGATTTAATTGAATTGATTATACAAGAGTAAGTTATATATTATAAAAAATGCCCTTCTTCATCATCAGAGAATATGTAAATACATGCAATATAATGTGAACTATTTATAAACTATTTTTTGATAGAAGTAGGAGTCTTGAGATACTTGCAGACTCCAAAAATTGGGCCCCGACCTCCCCCGCTGCTTTTTCGGGGGAGTTTTAGCGGGTTAAGTTTCGGGATAAATTTTGGAAGGCACATGAGATTGTAGATAAGACATTACCCAGAGATTTTGCCCTATTTTTGCGAGGACTTTATGATCTAAGTTCTGATTTCCTATAGGCGCAAGCCCCTATAGTTAATTACCCCTCCCGATAATGAGAGAGGACTTTAGATTAAGGCTTGTTGTCATTCATATATGTATAAATATGTGTTATCTTGCATATAGTAGCAGCATGAATTTGGAGTGTTGGAGGTTGAATATTTAAAATTGAGAATTTCATCATTTTGTACTTAAAATAGATAGTGAGTGAATGGATGATGGACACGATCAAGATCACATGGTTCTATCATCTCGGGCCATCGTGGTCCCTGGCTTACGTAGTCAGAGGAGGTAATCGACCTAACCTGACACAAGGATCCTTGTAAGAAGTCATGGGCTACTTCGTCTAATGGTACCTTGCAGACCTGGGAGAGTGTTTATCTAAGAAATATAAATTCACCTTAGCTAACAAAGGGCTTTATGCTCTATCAATTATATTCTATTGATTTATATCTCAAGGATTTGATGTCATTAAGGAACGTATTTGTTCTAGCCATAATCATTATCTCATGGTGCTATTTGGCGGCAAAATCACTCAGTTCAGAGAGTCCCGCCAGATCATAATCGTTTATCCTGCGGTGCTATTTGACGGCAAAACTATCGGTAAGATGACACATACCACATCCTTACTAGTATGAGGTTATTTGAGAATGGATCATGGTGATATTTCAACTAGGCATTAGCTCTATATGAGCTGAATTAAATTTCAATTTGTCCATCCGACAAACTATTGAGGAGGGTGGAAAGATTTTGCTTTAAGGGGTTTTGATAGTTAATTTCATTTTTAATATTTATTTAATGATTTAAGGATTTTAGATTTCAGGTATTTTAGATGGCATTTCAAAATATTGGAATTAACCTCTCCGGTTGAAATCTGCATTCAACATGACCATCATCGAGGTATATGGAGTCATTAAAAAATATTTGCATTTGTGGATGAACCTTATCGACTCTATTGAGCTATTGACAGTGGATTGAGTTTCATAGGCTTTATGCCTTTGTTGATGATTTTTTTATTGAATGCCTTGAAGGCCTTAATTATATGAACATATAAAATAGATATTCAAGTGTATATTTGTTTGATAATTCGAGCAGTGACAATTCCTATCTATTCATATTGAAAGATCAGGCTCGAACTACATTCATTTATGGACCTGTGCAGAATTCCTAGATGTCACGTGTGTATCAATAAAATGCTCGTCGGAGGCCCATGTGGTTATATGATTGCACTTAACCCTTTTAATTATGTATCTATGTGTGTGTGTGTGTGTATTACAGTACATGTACATAGCATTTTGAGATATTTTAGTTGTGCATGTAACTATCATTTGAATGCACACAAAATTTCATTTGAGAATTTATATACACCTTATGTCCGCTAATACAAGTGTTGCGAATCCGATAGCGTATTAATTACACGCTGAGTCTTCTACAGCAGCCTGGTAGGTATTTGTATTTATCGTATATTTGCTACCCTTGCTCATAAACAACTTGTTATTTATATAACAGATCTAGTGCAATGACTTGTAGTTGTTTGAATTTGTTGTAAATCTTCTATCATTGTCTGTAGGAGATCAGTGTATTTGCCTACGACTGATTATTGCTAACTGCACGAAGCTATATTCTCCTTGAATCATTCAAATACAACATGTCTTTCGTTCATTGCATGTTGAATTCCCTTGCTAGTAGAAGACAAATGTCTTCATCGCAGCTGCCTTACTATGGGTTGTATGAGTATCTTTACATTCATCACATCAATTATATCATGCATTAACCATATTTTTAAATAAAATTTCCATTAAAAGTACTTCTCGGCTCCCTTATAATATTTGGTAGAATTTTTTTAAAAAATAACGATTATTTTTATTCTGAATAAAAGCATCAGTAATTAAATATAATTATTTAATCATATTAAAAAAATAAAATTTCATTAAAATTCTTACAGATATATGCAAGCAAAGTCATGTTTTTCTAATTATTTTTCAAAAAAATATATATTGAAATATTAAAAAAATTCAATAACTTTAAATTCATTTTGAATAAAATTTAATTAAAATATTTTGTATCCAAAAAAAATTCAATAAAAAAATTAAAAATACAGCCTTGTCCACCTTCATCGGCTTCCTTCATATATTAACGTTACTAAGCCAGGATTAACTCAGCAAGCATGAGTTCATATAAAAAAAAAATATTTATAAACTATATATGAATTTTGCAGGCCGGTAAATAAATGACGGAATCGAAGCAGTAAAACTGCTCAGCCTCTTGGCGCCGCCTGCAAAAAACTATGGGTGGCCGGCGGCGACGTGGGAAGTTTCAGCTGCTGATAAGTTATAATAATTATGCTTGCCGAATGTTAATCGTTATTTAAGAGTTAATAATCGTAATTAAGTACGCAATGCTTAATTAGAGGAAAAGCGACGTTTATATATAAATTAATTATTACATAAGACTTTGATTATTTCTTTTTGTTTTTCTTGAAAGTAGTTCTATGAGCTAAGGACAAGGTTGAAACACTATTGTACTTCAAGAAAAATATATTGTATTAGCTAAGGAAATAAAGCCCATTCATCAAGAGAAGTAATTAATATTCTGATATAAATTATATGAATTTTGAAATTATTAAGTTTATTTTAAGATTAATATAATATAATTTTTCATGTGTAGTATTAATTTAATTTTATTTTAAAATAATTTATATTAGAATATTCTGATCTAATTTTTATTCTTATCAAAATATAAAATTTAAGATAAGAGAATAAAAATGGAAGATAGGTTTGGATAAAATTTCATGTGTGATCGGTATTTTAAAAAACTTTTATTTCAGTTCTTATTTTACTTTAATATTTTGTGTTGGGAAATAGAGGATTATGAGCTGTTTGATTTGTTATAAAAAGAGTGTAAAGTATTTCAAATGTATAGATTTTGAAAATATTAATGTTTGATTTGAAGTAAAAGGAATGCAAAATAAAATTTTGAAGTAAAAGAAATTCATGTTTTATTTCAAATTGGAATTTCTCCGATTTGAACGATTTCCAAATACACCAAAAGTTCATTGTAATTGTTGCCGCCCGCCATCACCGTGTATCAACCACTAACCACAATCATTCACCACCGGCCACCCACCCTGTCGGCCACCACCACTGTCAGCAACACACCGTCACCGGCCACCACCACTGTCAGCCGCCCACTATCACCAACCACCATCTCTTCCAACCAACGCTAGCAACCATCGGGCCCCACCGTAGCCCACTGACGTCAACAACAGATTTTTTTGCATTTTACATTGCATTCATTTTACTTCAAACCAAACAAAAAAGTAATATCATACATTCGTATTACAATCATCCAAATAATTATAAAGTATTCCTTTTACATTAAATTCTTTTTACAAACGATCAAACAGTCCCTTAGCCCTCAACAAATATAAAAAAGATATATAAAAGAAAACGTTCAACAAATAAAATATACTAAGAGTTTTATATAAGTTCATGTAATAATGATTTCATTTAGTTGAAGTTGTTAAATATTTCATTATGTTTTATTGTGGAGCTTTGAAAGCTCTAATTATATACAAACACGTACAAAAAAGAAACTCGACTCTTTGTAAGTAAAAATTAGGGTAGTTAAGAATATAATTAAATTTTCAAAATATTCTTGATAAAATATTATGGGATAAGGTTAGCCCACAATTAAATTTGTGTGACATGCTTTCCTTTTAAAAGAGAAATTTGATTTCATGTTTTACAAAACATATAATTGAAAAAATACCATCGCTCTTTATTTTCTTGAAGAAATATGTCAAAAATTTTACTTTAGCCATCCATTGAGAGATAATAATGACTCCTCAATTGACTCTAAATCATTCAAAATTTATTAAAAAATAGAGAGAGCTTAGTCATACAACCGTCACAAGCTTAACATTGTCATTGGATCACATCATCATTTGACTACTATCATTAGACCTCCGCCTTCCAAGCATTGACTACGGGTCCTTTAAGCCCTGTCGTCCAACTTTTGTCTCACGACCACCGTCATCTCAACCATTGTCATCAAATTATAATCTTCTAATCATAATCACCCAAATACAATTCTCTGACCACAATCGCTCAACTATGTTCTTCTAATTATCATTGCCTAATTATGATTATCTGACTATAGTTGCTCAACTATAGTCCTCCAACCACCATCCCCCGATTATGATCCTACAACAACTATAACCCAACTATGATTCTCCGGTTATCACCTCTCGACTATTATCCTTCAACTATCATCGCATGATTATGATCCTCTAATCATCATTACTTGACTACGATCATCTGAACCACTAGCTGAATAAGGTGAAATTGAAGAGAATATGACTTACTTTTTTTTTTTCTTTTAATTCGGCAGCACTATCTAGAGTAAACTTTTTTTTTTTTTTTTAATATTTTCTTTAAAAAAAATTGGGAAAAATAAATTTTCTTGTCAAAAAACAAGGTTGTTTTTCTCCAAGTTTATTGGGCACTCGGCATTGCCATATCAAGAGACAACGGCGAACAAGAGGCCACGTCAATCTATTTTTAGGTTGTTATAACCTGACAATGTTATCTTCATTCTCAAAAGCTTCTCTCGCAGATTCAGAGACCCTCTCATTATCTTCCAATGGCCTGTACCTCTCTCTCTAAATCAGCTCTTCCCTTACTACAAAGCAGAAAACCTAAGAGCCCTTCTGCTCCTCTACTTCACCTACACCTCCCGAAATCATCACATTCCCCAATATTTGGCCTCAAGCTCAGCTCCCCTAAGTTTTCTTCACCCACCATTTCCTCTCCGAGGCCTCCTATTTGTGCCAAGGTAAAAGCAATGTAGTGGATTTTTCGTTTACTTTCTGGTTGTTTCATTTGTCAATTTTTTATTTTCATGAACAATCTGTCTTACCATGATGTATTAAGAACTTTTAACCGAGGGAGGACTTCAACTGATAATTTTAGATCAGAGAGTTCTAGAGTTTATATGTTATGTCGAATGGTTTGTTGCCTTTGGCTTCTTTGGTCTGATTAGTAGAAATGTGGTTTAGTTGATCTTTTTGCTTCTATATCGTCAACTAATTACTACGAAAGTAATTTTTGGTTGATTAATTGGTCTCTGATTTTTTGAAAGAATGATGCTCCTCCAATCGTCTTCTTCTAGAATAAGGTGGCCACGCTTATGTGGTGGACAGTAAGTGGGAAGTTTGATGGGACCGGTGGGCTCAACCAGCCCACTCATTGTGCAATACACGATGAATTATTATGTGCGGATGTTGAACGCCGTCTAGAGCCTAATGAAAATGCGTCACGTCACCCCCTACTCAGTATCGCGGCTCGGTACTGCTCAGTACCGAGCCCGGTATTGCTCGGTACTGGATGATGTGGCTGCACCTGATTCGTCTTTGGATGGTAAGTTTTGCTTGGTGTCCACACAGAATAATCTCTCGCAACACACAGCATAAAAAAGGGTAAAAATTTGGTCTTATATATACTTGTGGTCAAAATTATAATGAACTCAAAATCTTAAGCCTATCGATAAGAGCCAACCACTTAATATTTCTTTAGCAACTTCTTTTTCAGTTATCTGGTGTTGGACTAAACTAAACATTTCACATGCCCTAATAATCTTCCTCATATTTTAGAGCTCTTCATATCAGTCATCATTGGCCCTATAAAAAAAAAAAGTGCATGCCTGCTTAACCATTTGCAAGCACTATGGGATTCACCTATATTTTTTTAAACAATGCTGAACTTTGATTGAAGGAACCAATGACTCATGTAAGCCAAAAATTGTATGAAGTACTTGATCTTAGACAAATCTTTACTTCTAAGGGCATCTCCAACCAAAAATCCCATTTTTCACTCCAAAATGCAGTGAAAATAAAAATGTCGTGATTCATCTCCAATCAAACTCCATTTTGCGTGCTTCTGCTATGTTAACCGTCTTTCTCCTCTTCTGTGCATTTCTTCGGCAAATCCGGTTGAGATAGAAAAATCGCGTAAGTGAACAGTGCGACGCTTTGTTCTTCCTCCACCGATTAGTGATTTATTTGTCATTTGAATGGAACAAACCAGCTACGCTTTACAGTCATTTGGAGTTCGGCTGGAGACACCCTAATAACACTTGTTAGTGATGATGAATCAAAGGGAGTTCAAAGTTGGGTCTGATACACTAGTGGTCAAATGAATATTCAACCCAAAAACTTTAGCTAAGTGACATCTATATGGTATTTCTACACCATTTTTTTTAAAGAAATGGGATTTCTTGATTATTGTGTCCAGTACTTATGTGGCCTAATAAAAAAGAGTGGACCTTATACACACATCAATTTTTTACAGAAGAATTAAAAAAACAAATCATTTTAAATCTACATCATTGGTTTGGAGAGTGAATCATTACTCTTACCACGAAGGTGAGTTTAATCTTAGATCACGGTATGCATTAATACAAGCGCTTTCCAGGTCTTTTCTTTTTCCATCTTGCTGACTTTTTTTTTTTAGTTATTTCAATGTTTGTTCAATATTAATTAAACTAAGCAGTGTTAAGTCTTGTGGCCTCCGTGGTAGTTTTTAATGTAATTTGCAATGTTCTATAGGGTATTTCTTTATATTATGAAGTGTTATGCCAAACATTACAGGTATAAAATAGTTGGCATCTCCTTCAAAACTGACGCAATGCTCTAATAAAAGAGTGATTAGGTTGGAGTCGTCTGAAGGATTATGTCAGGCCAAGTATTAAAAATGCGCTTTGTATGTTATAATATCTTTCATGTTTTGAATACATTTTTTTAGATGTTTAATGCTAACTAATCAAGACAGGATTAGGTGCATAGTTTAGCACGAACAGGATATTCTCTTTTTAAGTATGTGACCTCTTAGGGATAATTTGATTTTAGATGGAAAATATGTATTAAAAACGTTGATTTTTTTCACCCATTTTGAATATGAAATCTAAATTCTCCTCTGTGAGGGATTTTTAATGTGTCTGTGGAGTTGAAAATGCATATCTGACTTTCAGCTACATCCAACCAAATGGTAGAATTTAATAAACTCGTCATTTTTCAAAATATATTTTCCAACTTATCAAAAGAAACCTTAATCTATTTGCTACTTTATTTTATTATTGAAAATGCAACTTTTGTGTTAATTACTTAATTTCTCCTGGTTGTTAACAAATTTGTTAGTTAATCATTGCTAAGCTGAACTCTTAGAACGGATGGATTTTATTGGTTTGAATTCTTGAAGGTGTCAAAAGGTGATGTTCCTCCCAACTTCAATCTGAAAGATCAAAATGGGAAGAATGTGTCTCTGTCCAATTATAAAGGCAAGCCTGTTGTTGTTTACTTTTACCCAGCGGATGAAAGCCCTGGATGTACTAAAGAGGTGAGATGTTGAGTTCACTGGTACCTTATGGCTCTTCAATTACAATAAAAGTTTGATATTCCTGAGATTAATCCATATGCAATTCTCCATATTTTTTTTTTTTTTTTTTTCTATTTTCCTACAACAACTACTATAACACTTTACTCCCATGTTTAGCAATTAAATTCTGAGAATGCAGGGTAGTTGGGTGATTAAAAAATAAATTTCTTACAATGAGTAAGTTTTCTTGAATATTTATCTTAAAATTATTTGAAATGCATGTTAGAATCATAAAAATTTCGGTTGTTTGATTAGATCAAGCATTACTGAATTTGAGATGTAAAATTGGCTATTATAAATTTATATTTGCACCTCAAAAAGCAATGAGATAGGAAAAGCTACATCCTTTGAACCATATTATGTTTAATTAGCTATGATTGTAACTAAGTAAAGTTTGTTGTAGCAAATATGACCTTCAGAGTGCTTATTAATATTACCTGAGGATGGCATTCTATATAAAAAAAAAAAAAGAAGAAAAAAAGGATGGCATTCTATATTAGCTCTCACTCAATTGATTTTTTTGTGATTGTTCTGGTACCAAGTAGGCATGCGCCTTTAGAGATTCTTATGAGAAGTTTAAAAAGGCAGGTGCAGAGGTTGTCGGAATAAGTGGTGATGATCCTAGTTCACATAAGGTATTTTCCTTGCCTGATGTTCTTTGTCTTCATTCAAACTTTTTAATTGCCGGTTTTGATATGAATCCCTTTTTATGTGTTAGCCCATCCTTTTTTTTTTTTTTGGTTATTTCTCTAAGAAGAAATATTTTTCCTTTTTTTTTTCCCACACGCAAATTTAAACCTAAATATTATGGAATGAGTAAGAGTGAGACTTAGAGTAAGACTTCGAATGAAATGAGTAAGACTTGTTTTCAGGAAACATCAGGATACAAATGATCTTGTTCAAAATATATAAGAAAAAAAAATTAAAGGTTACAAGATAAGGAAAAAGAGTTGGTGTCACAGACAGTAGTGGGTCAGGAGAAGAATGAGATTAGAAAGATTATCAAAAGACCTCTTTGCATTTATTTTGAAATGTTAACCAAAACTATATTGCAATGGATTGATGAGAAGTCCTAGAGATAAGAAGAAAAGCAGAAACGTCATAATTAATATTTTCTGGTACTACAGAGCTTATTTGCTCTTTCAAAAATGCTATATTCTTTAGTTGCAAGTTTATTTAAAGGTCATTTTCTCTTAAAGCAAAAAAACACAGCGATATTTAAGAGTTCAATTTTCTTTTACATGAGAGTCTTGAGTTTTGCTCTAAACATCAAATATTAATAATCACAAAAAAATCAAGTTTTTTTTTTTTCTCATAAAGGGAAAATCATCCAACTCCAACAACTGCCAACATTGTAGATGAAAGAGAATCATCTCAACCACTGAGTAAAGCTGCAGCCAGTACCTCATATAAATTTCATCCGTTTGATCATAATTAACCTGAAGAACCTTAACATGACTCAATACCTCACAGCGAGCAAAACTCTTATCAACCACATAGCTTCCGCCGGATCCTCAGTTGACATATAGGACATCATCCTCTACACACTCAATGGTTACTATCCTATCAAGCTTTCAAAACCTCCATACGAACCAAACTCACACCCATCAGCCTAGACAATCTATACTCTCTACTAGTCAATGAGGAAATCAATATCTTAGATGAATCTTCCCATCAATAGTAGATTTCCAGTCAACTCTTTACTACTATCATGGTAGAGGCAGACGAGGACGTGGCCGACTTCCCTATAACCCAACAACCTCCAGCAGAAACTCCTTCAATTCTACCACTTAGCTTCTTGTCTGCCAAATCTGTAGCAAGAAAGGGCATTCGGCTACAATATGCTGGCATAGACTCAACATCAACTACATACCACAATCTCCACCCACACCATCAAAAGCAATGGTAGCTGCAACTTCACCTCTGTCAAATGAATAAGTGCATTGATTCAGGAGCATCATCACACCTCACTCACACGCTCGACAATATGCAAAATCCATCTCTATACTAAGGTTCTGACAACATCACCATTGGAGATGGAAGAAGTCTCCCAATAGCTCATTTCAGAGCTGTTCTGCTTCCCACTACATCCAGTAAGTTAAATCTGTCACATCTACTTAATGTACCCAAAATCTCTCATAATCTCCTCTCGGTTTCTCACCTAACAAATGATAATGTCTCCATTTTTTTTTTATTGCCTCTGGTTTCACAATCAAGGTCAAGGACTTGAGGACAAACGAAATCCTTCCCCAGGATCCTTGTCTGGATGTACTCTACCCAATTAAGCTCCCTCCTTCAGCAACCCGTCAATCTTCTCTAGTGACCACCAACTCCAACACTCTTTGCTGGCCCAATCAACTTGGTCATCCTCACTGTGAAGCCATCACCATCATCTGAAAGCAACACAAAGATCTTCATATACTTGTTTCTTCTTATTTCTGCAATGCTTGTAATGCCTCAAAAGGTCACAAACTAGTGTTTCCAAAGTCCACTAAATCTACATCTACTTCTCTTGCTCTCATTCACTCAGATGTATGGGGGCCTTTTTCCCGTTAACTCTACTCAAAGCTACAAATATTATATCATCTTCATTAATAACTTCTCTAGATTTGCTTGGGTATTCCCTATGTTTTACAAATCTGAAGTACCAACAACATTTATTAAATTCAAAATATGTATAGAACAACAACTCTCCCATAAAATTAAACATTTAGAGTAGCTTTCTCTTTCATCTCCTACTCAAGTTCTATTATGAATGGTGAATCATAATCTCCTCAGACATTTGGAAAATCATTCAATAGTAACTTTGTTGTTTGCATGAATCTCATCTCTGCAGGCATTCGCTTCAAAATATAAGCTTCCATTTACATTGCTAAGTGATGAAGGAAACAAGGTAAGGAAACAGTGGGGGGTCCCCTCCGATCTCTTCGGAACACTCGCAGGGAGGGAGACTTATGTTATTGACAAGAAAGGAGTAGTTAAGTTGGTCTATAACAACCAATTCCAGCCCGAGAAGCACGTGGATGAGACACTGAAGCTACTACAAAGTCTCTGAGGTCCTACGCAGTTAGAATTCATTTGGGACAGTTTTTTTATTGCTTCTTAAAGTAGTTTTTTAATGCAAAAATTTAAAAATTTGAACTAAAAACCTGTTTTAAGAAGCAGTAAGAAAGCCGTCCCAAACGAAAGCTTAATCTGTATTTGTTCTTTTTCCCCCTAGTTAGCTAAAAACTGTTTATTCTTATTCAGCAGCGATATAAATGATCAAATTTATGTCTGATTCTTGCTGTAAAAAATGGATTTAACGCCTCAAATAACTAAGATGCAAATGCCAGTGAGCAAATTTCTCACATGCATTTGATCACATAAGGTTTCATTATATCATGGGAACCATCAAAAAATCAGAAAATTAGTTTTCTCGTTCATTCATGTTTCATGATTCTCTGTAAGACTGTAATTGTTGTGTATCCGACTCACCTTTCATTCCCATTTGGGTTCATGCTTAACTGTAAGCTTCACAGCTCAAGGCTTTGCTGGGACAGTTTTTTTACTATTTTTATGGTAACTTTTTAGCTTAAATCTTTTGAAAGTAATGAAAAAATAGTATTAAAAAGTTTCCTCAAATAAAGTCTTGGTGTTTTCACAAAAGAGTGGTATGAGAAATGAAATTAGATGAAATTGATTCTTTTGTAATGCCAGGCTTTAAATAATTATTTGAAAGTTGAGAATATTATGCAGAATGAGGAGTTAAATTAAAAGAAAATTGTAATTTGAAATTTAATATTAAAAAAACCTACTAATGTTTCAGTTGGGATAGTTTTTAGCCATTGCTTTTTTGTTACATTCATTGAATTTTTGCGTTAGAAATCTGCTTTTAAAAGCAATAAGAAAGCCGTTCTAAATGAAGCCTAAGGTTTCGTTTGGGATGTTTTTTTTATTGTTTTTTAAACTAGCTTTATAGTACAAAAAAATTTTGTTCAAAAAAATATTTTAAATAGTAGTAAGAAAGATATTCAAACGAAATCTAAATTATCTATTGAAAGTTGATGCGGAGTTCTTAGTAAAGAAGTCAATAATAAAAATGGGGGTAAGTTTTTAAACTAAGTATCTTATTAATCTAATTTATGCAGTTAACCAATGGGACTTTTTTTTTTTGTGAAACCGTCAAAGTCGTCGATACAATGATCTACATTGACCATTGACCTTTCAATGACAACCTCAATAGAGCCTTCTCTCTATCACGACCGATTTCATGAATTTGACCCTTGAGAAAGTTCAGCGAAACCAAATGCCCATCATGTTCCATGAACGTTAGTTGTATATAGTTTTATTTTCAAGCGTATGCCACAACAAGCAATATTTATCTTTTATTACATTTGGCTTTCTCTTCAAGGCTCTCATCATAACTTATCGTCAAACTTTCTTTCAAACGAGTGCTACCCTCTCAATCATTTGCTTAGTAGGAATTTTTCAAATATTATTCATCACTGACGAAAACATTGTGAAGTAAGGTATGAGGGCTTAGACAACTAGCAAACAAACTTAATGCTACAAGTTTCAGATCTTGCTCATCAAATGAACCTCTACATCTACAACTTATATTGACAGAGAAGCACACTTAAAATATGACAACTAAAATATGAAAAATATTTTAAAAAATTAATTGCTATTGTCTATATGACAAAACAATAATATATGCGAAGAAATATGATTTGATAATACACAATGATTTGATAAGATAATTTTACAGCTCATACAATGTGACTACTCCCTGCAATCTTACAGCTCAAAAAATAAAAAATTTAGCTCAAGTACTATACATCTTTAAAGCATATCTTCATGTAGACATTTTAGAGGTTTTATGCAAATTGAAGAGATGTCATGAAATTCACATCGAAAAGCATATTACACATCCAAGATTAAGTTGTCGGACCCTCCTCTCTCCTAATAGCAAGTTCAAACGAAGAGAAACCTTCATCCAAGCATCTTTTCATGCAAACCACAGCTCATGTACTATCCATTTATATTTTGAATTTGAATATAATCATTTTAATTTTGAATGTTGTATATTTTGATTTTTAATATCCTTCATGTTTAAATATGATGAAAATAAATAATTTTTTATTTTATTCTTACTAATTTGTTCTTATCTTCCCTTTAATAAGGGTTCATGTGTTCGTTTGGAATAGATTTCTTAATACTTTCTAAAATAGTGTTTTAGTTAAAAAATTTCTTGAATTAGGATTTTTTGTACAAAAAAAATGTTTTAGAAAACAATGAAAAAACTACCCCAAATGAAGAATAAGTGATGAACTATCAAATGGATGTTTAATAACTTCTACGACTTATTGCATAATTTCTTTGATGAGAAATAATATAAATAAAATGTTTTTTTTTTTCCTTCATAAATTTAAATTCATCATCTAACTTTGCCGTTCTAAATGAAGCCTAAGGTTTCGTTTGGGATGTTTTTTTTATTGTTTTTTAAACTAGCTTTATAGTACAAAAAAATTTTGTTCAAAAAAATATTTTAAATAGTAGTAAGAAAGATATTCAAACGAAATCTAAATTATCTATTGAAAGTTGATGCGGAGTTCTTAGTAAAGAAGTCAATAATAAAAATGGGGGTAAGTTTTTAAACTAAGTATCTTATTAATCTAATTTATGCAGTTAACCAATGGGACTTTTTTTTTTTGTGAAACCGTCAAAGTCGTCGATACAATGATCTACATTGACCATTGACCTTTCAATGACAACCTCAATAGAGCCTTCTCTCTATCACGACCGATTTCATGAATTTGACCCTTGAGAAAGTTCAGCGAAACCAAATGCCCATCATGTTCCATGAACGTTAGTTGTATATAGTTTTATTTTCAAGCGTATGCCACAACAAGCAATATTTATCTTTTATTACATTTGGCTTTCTCTTCAAGGCTCTCATCATAACTTATCGTCAAACTTTCTTTCAAACGAGTGCTACCCTCTCAATCATTTGCTTAGTAGGAATTTTTCAAATATTATTCATCACTGACGAAAACATTGTGAAATAAGGTATGAGGGCTTAGACAACTATAGCAAACAAACAATGCTACAAGCTTCAGATCTTGCTCATCAAATGAACCTCTACATCTACAACTTATATTGAGAGAGAAGCACACTTAAAATATGACAACTAAAATATGAAAATATTTAAAAAATTTAATTGTTATTGTTTATATGACAAAACAATAATATATGCCAAGAAATATGATTTGATAAGATAATTTTACAGCTCATACAATGTGACTACTCCCTGCAATCTTACAGCTCAAAAAATAAAAAAATTAGCTCAAGTACTATACATCTTTAAAGTATATCTTCAAATTTAACATTGAATGACTAATATTTAATATTTTTTAATATATATAAGACACCTGTTTAACTTGTGACTTATGGCAAATTGGGCTATTTCATTTTTTTTTTCGTTGCTTAAATAGCTAAATTAGATTAATAAGATACTTATTAGTTTAAAACTGTCCTAAAAATGAGTCAACATCATCATGTAGACATTTTAGAGGTTTTATGCAAATTGAAGAGATGTCATGAAATTCACATCGAAAAGCATATTACACATCCATGATTAATTTGTTCTTATCTTCCCTTCAATAAGGGTTCATGTGTTCGTTTGGAATAGATTTCTTAATACTTTCTAAAATAGTGTTTTAGTTAAAAAATTTCTTGAATTAAGATTTTTTGTACAAAAAAATTGTTTTACAAAACAATGAAAAAAATACCCCAAATGAAGCATAAGTGATGAACTATCAAATGGATGTTTAATAACTTCTATGACTTATTGCATAATTTCTTTGATGAGAAATAATATAAATAAAATGTTTTTTTTTTTTTCCTTCATATATTTAAATTCATCATCTAACTTTGAAGTGGTGGATGGTATCCTCTTCCATCATTGATATCATTCATCAAAGATTTGAAACTTTCATGATCCTGGTGCTTAAGAATCATCTAAAAATTTTAGTTTAATTTGTTTTGTTAGAACTTGTCAGAGGAGTTCATCATAAATAAGTTCTTAACATATTATCATCCAAATGATAATACAACAACAACAACAACATCAAGCCTTTATCCCACTATGCAGCGGCCCTTGCACACTTGTCACTGTATTCAGGCCATACAGCGCGTCGCTTCCAGGGGACGCCCTAGCATTAACACAATTTCTTAAAGGATTCATGTCATTATTGTTCGACAAGTTTTACGCTGGCTGTCGACTACCTAACGCAACCCTCCACTTTTCTCATCCAAATGATAATATGAAATTATATTTGTTCTATTATAATTACACATTCAAATATATATATATATATATGAATCTCGAAAGAATATTTAAAAATATCTTCATTTTTTACCGCACATTATTTTCTTAAGAATGTTTAAGAAGTTTTGATCAACGAAAAATCACAAGGAAGAAAATTTTGAATATTTGAACCTTATTCAAATCATATACGAATATTATTCAAACATTATTTGACCCAATTCAAATAATATGATTTGATTAGAAGATAGATTCAAGAACGATTCAAATAAAATTTGAACAAGATTCAAGCATGATTCAACAAGATTAGATACAAGTTACATTTCAAAAATCAGCATCATTTTCATCAAGTTATACCAATTTCTAATAGCTCAAAACCATCTTCATTTTCAAGATAAGCTGTCATGAATAATTTCTTAACATGTATTTTATTGAAGTAGTTCTAGAACTCTACTTTTCTATAACCTTGGATGCTAAATGTATTCCTCATGACAAATATCACTTTTAAACTTCATTGTGATATATATTATATCATAATGAGTAAAAGCTCCATCATGTGCCTTTGAAAAATTAATTGATGAAGCATTTGTGATATTATTATGTCTATCAAAGATGAACATCAAGTTCTCTATTATGCTTATCGACTCTCTTAGCTTTATGTTGAAATCGCCAATGAACAAAGAAATATTCCACTTCAATTAACAATCCATCCTAAACAAAAAAAATCTCGCCGCGAATGTATGATGATGATAGCAAGGGAAAACGCCGAACCGGCAATGACAAAACATCATTCTTCCATACAATAGGGTATATTATAGGTGTGTAGTATCTTCATCTGAAATAAATTTACAAAATATTTTTCCCCCGAAAAAATAAACAACGCTCATAATTCTCTGTTTTTCGCTCTTGTGAGCCATGTAAATTCAAAATTTTCATACAAATATATAATTCATCTAATAATACAAATAAAACTATTAAATAAGTCAATTTTAATTAGATATCATAGATCCATTTATACCTAATAACCAAGATATAGATTTAAAGTACTAATAAATTCATCATTAATTATACTTGACTAAGGCTTCATTTGGGGCGGCTTTTTTACTGCTTCTTAAAGCAATTTTTTAGTTCAAAAATTAAATTTTTTGTACTAAAAAGTTGCTTTATGAAGCAGTAGAAAGCCGTCCCAAACGAAGCATAAATCTCAATTACAGCTTAAACTCGATAAAATGATAATAAATCAGCTTGAAAAAAACAAGTTAATACAATTTGAGTTATCTTCAAGCTCAACTCAAATTTGACCAAGTTCATTTCCAGCTCTTTATTAAGATTAGCATGATTATTTACTTATAAACCCCTTAATACTAATTACACATTCAGTCAGAATAAACGGGAAGAAAAGATTTGAAATGCAAACAAACAGTCCATCCTTTCTGTTAAAAAAGAAAATCATACTATACAAATTACAAAGAAGACGTATTCCTTTACCTATAGATAGATGCTAGCCGTTGATCGAACCAGTGGAGATGTATTCATTTGCAATTGAAAAGCAGTCCTCCTTCTGTTTCTTATACTCATCATAGCGAAGAAAGAAGTAGGAAAGGTAATCAAAATCAATAGGTGACACTTTCGCCTGTAAATTTATTAGAAACCAAACAATTGTAAGAACTTTACTATATCCAGTTGATGTAAACTACGAGAAACTATAATGAGAAGATATTATTAGAGAAATAATTACCTGTATGATAGCCCACAGAGCCCAGTAAAGGTGAGATGCCAACCTGAAGGTATTAGTTTCAACATAGAGGGCTTCAACGACCTTGCCATCAGCCTAATAGCCCAGAAAAGTTAAATCAGGAAATAAAAGAGAGGAGACTTTCTTCTTATTCAGCATAAAAGAGTTGCATATAAGTATTAGGAAACTAAGGCATCTGTCTTTGGAACAAGGAAAGATTAGTGAATAAATTACCTCTGATAGCAAGGAAAATGAATTAGTTTGGTTGAATTTCATGTAATCTAACTAGCACATAGTAGTGAACGATTATATCTAAATGGTAAAATTTTTAAATGGATCAATTTTAACGTAAAAATTAGGAGGAATGCAGTCAAAATAAAATTTAAAAAGATCAAAAATGGTAACTGGCAGTGCGTTTTGCAGAAAATGTGAATTAGAACTGTGTTTTCACGAAAAACGCAAAGATTAATTGCGTTTTGAATATAAAATGTGAAATAGTTATGCGTTTTCTACTTAAAAAACACTGACCTACACTGCATTTTCTTCTTAAAATTTAAAATTAAAAAAAATAGATGGAATGGAAAGAGAGATGGAAATTCATTTAAATTTTTAATTAAACACTTTTAAAGTTAATTAAAATTTAACATAAAAATTCAATATCTCTCTCTTCGTTTCTGTCTCTGCCTCTCTCTGTTTATGTCTCTCGTTCTCTCTCTATCTTTCTACCTTTTCTCTTTGCTTTTTAATGAAAAATGCAAAATTGATTTGCATTTTCTTACTTTAACCAAAAACACAAAATAGATTTGCATGGATGATCCTTCTATTTTTTTTTTTAATCATGTTCCTTCTCCTAATTTAATCTTTCATAATGATCCTTTTTTAAATTTGGCCTATCTAAATTATGATTAATGTTTGATCAAGCAACTCAAAAATAAGCAAGAGAAACTTTTCTTATGTTGAACTTTCAAATTCACACACACCTCATGCGGCCTCTCTGGCTCGAGATAATTTCTGAGGAAAAGATACTGAGCTTCTCTGTCAGGATACCTACAGTGGAAGATGGTTGGAGGAAAGAAAATGTTACAAAAAGAAACTTAGAGAAGAATTAAGTACGGAAAATGATTGTTTACAATAGATAAAAGAACATACAAGCTATAATCACAGTCATAACCAGCATATTCATTGAAGTGGTTTGCAATATCGTAGCCTCTGTAGCTGTATGAACCGTATTCAAAATCAATGAGGTAGAGTTTCTCTGTAAGGTATGGCAGTGTTGTAAGGAAATCGGGATCAGACTACAAATATTGGTGTACTGTATATAGATGAAAAAATTTGACCTTGTAGCGCCCAGGTAAATATAACAGTTTTTAACAAAAAATATTGGTCCAGACAAAGCAAGAATAAAAATTTGGCATGGCAAGAACACATTAGCATGTTTGAGTTGAAAAGTTCTACCTTCTTCATCATTTCGCATCAAATTACCAGAGAGTAAATCATTGTGAGCGAAAACCACAGGAGCATCTAAACGGTCAGTTAGGTTCTGTAATTAGTAAAGCGGGAACTGTAATTAGTGAAGGGAAATATTACAAGATAAAAGACTTTCGAAGCTTACAGAAAAGCAAAGCCAAATCCCATGACTCAGACAAGTAATATGAAAACAGTTCAACTTGAACTAAATAACCACTAATAAGGCTTAAATAAGGCTTGCTTGAGGAGGCATATCTGGAAGTATCGTAAATTATAAAGAATGCAGAAGTAAAACGACAACTCAAAGAGACAAAAGGAATACCTTAAGTGCATTCAATTCATCACGGATTTCTTTGAAAGAGATGGTTTTAAACTTGGCCTGCTTCTCCTTGTCATCAAACTCTAATGCCTCAGCTGCAAAACATTCTTCTCTTAACTATGACATTCTATAGCATAAGTAGCAAGTCGAGAAGAGTCAAAGTCAATCAAGAATTGGAATTGAATAACGGGAACATATTTTGGTTTAGTCCATCAAAGGACAAAGAAGAGAGGTCAGAAACCTTGTTTAAGGAACTTAAAGATATCACTCCACAACTGTGGTTCTCTAGAACCTGCTACTTTCACCTGGTGGAACTTGCGAAGTTGGCATGCGATTTCGGTGGATATTTTGGGCTCGCTCATATCTGTGGAAAAAGGGTTATCAATATTATCATATGTAGCAAAATCGTTTGATGGAACTGATGAAAGAACTTGCTTAAATTAGTCAAGCGAATAGCATAAAATAAACTAAATATGCCTCAATTAGTAAGCATTTCTAAGAAGATCTGGATGATTTTGCTGTCTAATTGCCTACAGCTACAGTTTTCTAATGAGACCCAATTGTTTACTTAAGATGGCAGGGCAGGCTTGAGAGAGGTGGATAAGTTTGTGGTACAAAACAGAAACATATAGAATTAACATTTTAAAGTCAGAAAATTTAAACAAAGAGAAGGCAAGATAAATTGGACGATAATAAAGTACAAACATTCGGTAAAGAATAACAATTAACCCCCGCAAATTTTGGCAAAGGAACTAGATACTACAAAATCAAATATCAAGGTAAGGTAACCACCGCCTCTATGGCTACCTAAAAACTTCCACAATCCACCTCTTAACCAGCAATTCATAGGAAGCCAACAATACCATAAAGCTATGGAGAATTATGGTGGTGTTGGCTCCTACAGCTGTATGTTATTTGTTAAGAGATAGATTTTGGAAGTTTTTAGGTTACCCTAGGGGATGGTGGGCTTACTTTGGTATTTGATTCTATGGTTGTTTGTTTTCCTTACCTCCATTGGCTTACATTTGCAATGAATTTATGTTTTACGTTTGCCTGGTTTTTCACTCAAGTTTGTTACCATGTGGATAGGCATGCATTGGGATTTTTTATGTTTGACTAAGATTTCCGGTACCGTTGCAAGATTTCAGCCGCATTATTCTCTAAAATTCTTTATATAAATCTAAGAGGATTTGTGATTAAAAAAAGAGGTTTGAGACACGTAAAATGTCAATGAACTATTTTTTAATAAAATTCCAATTGGATGTGCTATTCCTTATAATTATAAGAGTCAACTTCTTGGAAAGTGGGAGACTTAAGATTTTTTGGAGATTATATATTTCTATAGGCATAAGAACTTATTCTACAACTTTGGGTAATTTATTTCATCTTACTTTCATTCAATTTGTTATTGGATTAAAAGTGTGATTGAATTTAGTTAGATGCAATCTAATTTTCTACGGTGCATAATTCCAATTAATTTATGATTTTATTTTTAATTTCAAATTACTATGTTATTTATACTAGAAAACCATTAAAATATCAATTGCATCAGAGTACTGTCTTTTATTTCCATTTCAAGTAACAAATAATTTCTAAAACTAACAATTTTTTATCTGTGAATTTGTTTTATGTTTGTGTGATTTGTGCACACCATAGTGATCTATATCAGCAAATTCTCGATCCTAAGTCATCCTACTATAGCAGGAATAAGGCAAAAATAATGATGATGATGATTTCCCTTGGTAATAAAATAGAAGATGGTAACCAAAAAATATCCCCCGAGCATAAGTAAAAGTTCTATCTTGTCAATCAACTTCATAAGTTTAAGCTCATGCTAATTTCAAGGAAAAAAAAACTTATATGCAGAAAATAATAATTAAAACATGTGAACAGAAACTTGTCCGCAATTGCTTGAGAAGCATAGGGGCCTTCTTACCTGATGGTGAAAGAGTACGAGCAGTAATGAATGACTGGATCATGCCATTTGCAAATAATCCTAGCAATTCAGCACCAAAACCTGCAGCTGATATAAATGGTAGGGCCTAAAAGAAATAACAAAAATAAATTAAACTATAAAAGGCAGCAGAATTTCTACGTTCATATCTGGTATCTATATGCATAAATATGCTTTAAGTTAATCAATTGAACGAAAAAAATTGGGATTGCTATGTGGACATGTCAGGAATAACATTTGCCTAAAGGTTCTTAAGGTTTTCTGCATTTGTAATTAATTTTAAATCAGCGACATCACAAAATGATCTTACTAGTACTTACATTAAGAAAAAGGATTGCTGGCAACTGCTTGCATCATCTAGAATGCCTACTCTTCCATTATTCGATGGTTTAAAAATTGACACAGCTAGTCTCAAGCCGATATGAGAAATGTGGGGGTTGATAGTAGACGGAGAGCAATAGTTACTTATACCAAAACTCATGAAATGAACTGACACCAAATAGTTGGGATAAGGCCAATAATAATGAGATGTTTTGCAAATCAAGAACTGCTTAATCTTTTCGTGGTGGGCATTGTTTGATTAATGGTTTGTTTGTGCACAATATGAATGCACATTTTTTTCTATGCATATCTGTTACAATATATCTACACACATTATTTGCATTATGTTTTGACAAGTAACACAAACATGAATAGGAGCAGGCAATAGAATCCTCCTCCCCTCAGCAAAAGAGGTACTCATACCAAAAGAAACCTAATTGGTTATTCTGCATAAAGAAATTAAAATACTTATCACTATAACATCATCATCATAATTAACCTTATCCCAATTATTAGGGGCCAATATTATGAATCATCATTTGTCATTCTTTCATGATAAGTGTTATGTTGTGTGCAAAACCTATTATTCACAAATTATTTTTGTATAACCCTTCTCTTTTCTAATCAAATAACTTATTTTATCTGTCCATCAAATAGTTGCATTTTCTACACCTCATTATAAACGTCCAAACCATAAAAGTCTATTTTCAACTACTAAACTTTCATTAAATGTTGCTCCAAACATTCCTCAAATACAGTCATTCCTTATTTTATTCTTATCAATTTTACCTCGCATATAACTTAGCATCTCATTTTTGTCTCATTCAACTTAATAATTAGCAATTTTTTTATTATCCAACACTCAAATTCATACAATATTACTCTTATAATTATATTTTTATACATTTTAAGTCTCACATAATACCGTCTTATTACTATTTATGAAGCATTTCTCCATTTGATCACTTAGCCTCAACTCTGGACTCCAGAAGTTGCATCATTATCTATATTTAAATTCTTCTATATAATATATCCAAGATATTTAAACCTACACCTATAATCAATATTTTCCTAATAATATTCTGTAATAATGATTAATATTATAATCATTAAAATTGCACGACATATACTCATTGTTTTCTCTACTAATTCCAAGCCCTCTATCTTCTTAATCTTTTCTTATTTATTTTCACTTTTTACTTATTTCAACGAATCTTTCATTGATTAAAACTATATCTACAAAAAGCATACACAAAGGTACCATGCATTTAATGTATTGTCTAAGCATATTCATAACCAATACAAAAAGATAGACCCAATGTTAATCCTCGATTTAATCCTATATTGAAAGCTCGGGTCACTCCTAACTACTTATAAGCAATATTTAATAACTTAAATATACTTTTAATACATAATTTTCTCCTTAATATGCACCAAATCAATTCTCATGATACTTGATCCTATGCTTTCTCAAGCTCAATAAAAATCATATGAAGATCATTTTTCAATTCTCTTTACTTTTTCATTAATTGCTTCACTACAAAATTTCACTTCAATAGAAGATTTTCCTAGCATGAAATGAAATTGATTCTAAGAAAATAACATCATTTTTTGGAGTCTATATTCTACTAGTTTTTTCTGAAGGCTTCATTGTATGATCGGTTCAATTCATATATAGTTAGCAAAATCTTGAACATCTCTTTAATTTTTAAATATTATTACAACTATGATTAGTTTACAGTCATTTGGTACCATTTTAGTTTTCAAATTTTCTTTGAAAATGTTTATTAACCAACCCATTACAGCATATCTTATAATTCTCCAAATCTTGATAGGTATCTCATACAAACTTGACGCTTAACTAGACATCTTCAAAGCAAACTCCACTTAACTATTTTAGATAACTATATAATATATCACATTATTTTATTCATTAGTTATGCTCGCCCAAGATAACTTCTTCCTAAAACTTCACTTAATAATTTATCAAAATAGAAATTTTCACTTTTCCTTGATATCTTAATCTTTAACTAAGATCATATTATATTTTGCTTTTAATACATCTAAATTTGATCAGAATCTCAGATCTCTTCTCTTTTGCCATAGCTATTTTATAAAATCTTATTCTCTCCTTCCTTCATAGCAGGATTAATATATAAATTATAAAAGATAATAGTTTTCGCTTTTCTCATTGCACTATTTGCAAGACTTCTAGCTTTCTTAATCTATATAATATCAATAACTTGAAAGTTTGTCAAGCAAGGGATCTAGCCATTCATTCTAACCATTTTTTAAATGATTAATATCTACTCTAATTATATAATTCAAATAGCCAATAATGCTCAACTTTCTCTAATTATATAATTCAAATAGCTAACAAAGCTCAACAATACTTTTGATGTTTTAAGAAATTTTATGTAGAAACTAATCATAAAAGGAGGTTTAATAATTCATTAATTCATATAATTACTATGAAGCCAAATAATTTTATATTTATATCATTCTCTCAATTTTCTATCCGATTTTTTTTTCAAAACACTTAATAAAATGCTATAAGAAAAAGAATTTTTTTATATCTTCAAAACATTAATATGACACACAAATACACATAAATACATATAATACTTATTTCCAAAAAATCAAAATTGCATTTAATATTTCCAGTTTAGGAATTATTTCATAAGCTTTAGATGCAAACAAGCCATAATAATACTTTATATGTTTATTAATTCTTGTCTATGAATACTTTAAATAAGCTTAAATTTATGAAACACGTAATGTTAGTTTCTCTATCATAAAATATAATTATTATTATTATCTAATCGCATTTTCCACAATGTTCATTATATGTATAACTTCTGGTACATATCTCTCCAAAGCAAGCATAACTTGCCACATTATAGCTTCCCCCATTTTAGTAATTAATCGAATGTGGTCAATTTAATCTGCCACATTTTTCTAATTTAGTCCCTCAACTATGCAAAATTAATCCAAAATAGCCTCTCGTGTACAAATTGTTATACAAAATTAATCATAATTTAGTCCCTTAATCTTAATTCAATCCCTAAGGGTTCATTTTGAATTAATTTTATACAGACAAAAAATATGATACTTTAGGACTAAATTGGTACAACAACAACATCAAGCCTTTGTCCCACTACGTGGGGTCGGCTACATGAATCTTTTTTTGCCATTGTGTCCTGCTATGCGTGGTTAGAGAACAACATGACTGTCATTTGCATCAAACTGACTTCCATGTCGGAGTTCGATTGAGTGTAGTGTGGACATCTATTGGAGAAGGAGATACTTAAAGGAAAATTGATGGAAGAAGTGGCAAGCTGAAATATTGTATGCCACAAAAAGAGATTTAATGATTCATGCATATGTTTTGTGAGAATTTTCCAAACTATGATTTCATACTTAAACTAAGCCTTCATCTTCAACTTCGGCAGTTTTCCATTTTAATTTCATGACACAAGTTATCGGAAAATTAGCCATGCCAATTATTTTGAGTTCATGATCACTTTTTAGATAAACAAAAAAAAATCAAGTTATCAACATTTTATCCTTTCGGTATGCTTTTAAGCGTACATGCATACTCTATAATCAAGGTTTAACTTTACTTAACTAAGGATTTATTATTAATGAGGAAAATGAGAAAAAATAGATGAAAGTTACAAATGTGCAACGATTATAAATTATAATTACTGGATAGATGATGGGGGTTCATTTATAAATGGAAATTTCTGAATAAATTTCAAAGTTGACGGCATAAACACATCCATCAGTGAGAAACATTAGAATAATGAAGTGGAGCTTAACTTCAGGTTATTACGAGATTACCAATAAATAATCTCAAGGAAATCACAACATGCATGCATGCATTAAAGTGTGATTCACTCTCCAAAAATGCTACTTCAGAAATAATTAATAAAAAAGAAGAGCAAAAGAACAAGCTACAAAGCACACCTGCAACTCTCGTTTGCGGTCAATAACTAAATCAGTATTTGGCCCATACAACCTAACTGTTAGAAAAACATAATCTGAACTGGCTTCTTTCACAGCAACCTTAAGCACTGCAGGGTAAACAGGGACAGCATTAAAGAAGCAAAATATGGAAGAATATCAAAATATTTTAACTAACCTAGCAGAAAATATCAAAAATGGGAAATTTACACGCATGCCCAATATCTGATTAAGTCCTACACCTCCCAAAAATATTAAAAAAATAAAATAAAATAAAATCCAAAATTTTAAAGTCTAATCACTTCACTTATTTTATAATTCCAAAATATAAAACATTGATCAAGAATTTAACAGCCAAATAGCTATTGAAATAGTTAAACAAAACTGTATTATGCAAACATCCAAATTTTAAAAATAATAAAAAATCCAGATTCATAAGATCTCTAAAACTTAAGCCGCTTGAACTATAAAGATAAAAAAATTGCTAAATAAATTATGGATTTAACCTTTATAGATACACTAAGAGGCATTGATAAAGAGTCGAGACCTCCAACTTCTTTAATGAAAGAAACAAACAGAGGCATCAGCGAGTGTGAATGCAGCCAAGATAAGACTCACAAGTTGATGAATTGGCAAAGACAAAGCAATCCCAACAAAATAGTGAGGAAGTGAAATCGATAGAGATTAATTGGACAAGCAAGTCAATGTGGAAGGAGCAACTATCAAGCAATTCGGTGAGGTAGTGGCTGTGAGTTGGTGTGGGAGATGCAACAATTGAGTATGTGAGGAAGCGATTCAACGAGGACGAAGTGAAACAATTTCAGGAGAGTCAATTTAATCATTATTTTTTAATTAATGGGAATGTTTTCTTTTCTTCTTTTATTAGTGGTAGTTTGATAAATATGTCTAGGTGTTAGGAAGGATGCTAAACTATTTATATCCCCTTTAGAAAGAGGGTGATTTTTTTTTGTAAGTTCCGGTTTAGGTTTCCAGAGTTTGGGGAAGGAGTTCCCTGATTTTGGAGAGGTGGAGAGAGAAAGAGATCATGCTGGAGTTTAAATTTTAGCCACAATCAATTGTCGGAGCTTCTAAGCTTCTCCCATGGTTGTCCTAGGTGACAGTCACCGCATTCTTAAGTTGGTTTTACCTGGAAGGCAGCCGTCTTGGGTTCTAGCAAAAATTTCTCCTACTGTAAAGAAGAGACAAGAAGGTAATCCTACAGAATACTGCCGCCAAAGTCTGTAGTATGGAAATGTATAGGGGCTGGAAGCTGAGAATGGATATTGTTTTAGGGTGAACCTGTGAGCCGACTACAGCAAAACTAGAGGAAAAAACAAATAAGTAAATAAAAGAAGAGTAACTGTTATTATTCCTCCTGGTTCTTGTATCCTAGTGCCAGTATTTGGTCACGTATATTTTGTGCAAAAAAAATTTATAGTGTTTAGTTTTGCAATCAAGCTTGAGATCGATATGGTAATCCAATCCTTACCTTTCTTGTGGCGTCAAAGTGGTTCAATGAAGGAGCAATGTGAGTGCAAAGTGATTTTTTTTTTCCAATAGGATTTAGAAATAACTTTCACACATATGAATAATAGATTAAAAGAAAAAATGAAGTTTTTTTTTATTTTAAAAAGATACCTGCTTAATGTTTTATAATCATTTTATTAAAGTTTACCAAAATTAAAATATGGAGTGATAACCCCACTTAAGAGGCAAGCATGACTCAGGACCCACAGCGATGCCTCACCCAATGGGACATAAGCCCCCCACAAGCTTAACATCTCCCCTGGTTGCCCTAAGGCACATTTGACCCACCTCACCCCAAGAGGAGCCCCAAGCCAGCTCCAAAAAATGACTTCTAAAATATATAAACGAATATAAAGCTTTTTATTTACTAAGAATCAAAACAACAGAAAAAAATTGGTGTGTATCAACATTGATAAATTTCCAAAGACGCACATGAAACAATCGCCACAAAGTTAAAAAGAAAAAATCAGAATAGAGATCACCAATTGAAATCACCAATAGAAATCACCATAAAGGAGAATCATTTCCCAGAAATTATCATTAAGACCTACAAAGTGCTCAAAGAATCTACATCCAACAACACAGAAGTATTCAGATATTTGATCTTCATCCTTAATACACTTCACTTGAACTAAATCCTTACTACTCCTATCTCTTTGTTTGGCTAACTTATACATATATCTTTCTCCCTCCTTAGTATTTAATCTATTATATAAATCGCTAAAAGCTAATGTCAAACACAGAAGTATTCAGATAAAAACTAAAATTATATTTAAGGATTTAAATGTTTAGTGAACTTTGCAAGCCTTAGAGGTTCCATTTATAACCCTAGAAGATCCAAAATCGGTAACTTCCTCGAATCGTCCAAAATTGCATTATTATGTTTTAACAATTTCAATCCTTTCACAATTAAAAAAAAAATGGCAATATTCAAAGAAGTATTCAACTTATAGATCCATTTTGAAAATTCATAAAAGTTATGCCTCTCATCAAATGTAGGAATATAATTTGGATCCTCATGATAATTATAATGTTTATATCTATAACTATAACTTATTTTGTTTAAATTGTATTTTTTTATTTTTTAGAGCCTCAATTAATGTCCTATTTTTTAGTTCACATGATAATGCAACCATATGCTCTAAAATACCAACTGATGTAGAAGGTCTAAGGCTCTAGGGGTCACTATTGAAAACCTAGGATAACATGCATAAAAAACACACAAAAGATCAAAATAACTTCCCAAATTTTCATTTTATGCAAAGATTAGTCTCTTTTGATGTAAAACTAAAAAACACACCTAATCCATTCTTAATGATAAAAATGAATCACCAAATCTGAAATTTCATGAGAAATCTGAAAACAAATATAAAATTTTGTAAGGATTAAGAATTACATAATAAAAATGAAAATAGGTATGCATCCAACTTGAAAAAATCTCAATCGCACACAAAAATTAACCATAAATAATTTAGAAGAAA